TGGATCCTCTAAGATTAATGGTGTCCAAGTATCAATTGGATGGCAAGTTTTAATGTATATTGATGGCCTATAATAGGCTATTCATTCCCTTCAGTTTAATATATATTTGCTTCTTGATGTAAAGCTTCATGCATGCTTGTCTACATATGTTATCTGCATTGAAGTAAACAAAGCTTAATATCCTATTTTATTGTGATATTGTTCAGTGTTTTGATGTATCGGATTCAGAAATTCTCTGTTTCCCTTTGCAGATGTTGAAAAGAAAGTTGAAAGAATCTTGACGCTCATCAAGAGGAAAAGCAAGGGGGAAGAGGAGCCCGAAATTGCTGTGCTCGTTGAGGACTTTCACGAACAGTACCAGTCTCTCTATTCACAGTATGAACAACTTAAACGAGAGTCCAGTAAGAAAGTTTTTGATTGGCAAGGACTTGAAAGCCATTCTTCTAATGCCTCTGGCTCGGATTCAGAATATCATCCGTCGACAGATATTAAACCTACTGCCGATGCAGAAGTTAACAAACATGGAAGTTTGCAGACAAGGATGACCGGAAACATCCAGGAAGAACTCGAAAGGGCGTTAAAAGAAGATGCTGATCTGAACCATCAATTGGTCTCTAAGACTCGAGAGAATGAAGCTTTAGCTTCAGACCATTTGGCTGCTGTAAGTAAAATACAAGAAATAGAAATCGTCAATAGAGACTTGAGAAAAGAAGTGGATGAGAAAGAGAAAAGACTTTCTGATTCCGAATCGGAGCATAAGGGACGGTTAATAGAGCTAGAAGAGAATTTGATTGGCTTGCAAAATAAGGTGGAATCTCACCAGCTTGAAAAAAGACATTTGGAAGCTCAACTTGATGGTAAGACAGCTGAATGTAAACTGCATGGAGAGACAATTAAGGCATTGTATCGGCAGATTTCGGAGGTTGGAGATGAAGTTAGTAAATTCATGAAGCAGATTGAGGACAGTGACAACAACTTAACAACTAAACTTGAGGATTCAGTGGCTCAGATCATCAATCTGAAGGTGGAGGTTGACAATTTATATGACCAAACATACGAGGTAGATGCACTGAAGCAGGAATTGGATTCGGTACGCAATCAGAAAATCGAATCCGAGACTCTGCTAGAGAGGAAATCTAAAGAAACCTCCCAGTATTGGATTCAAGTGAAAACCCTGAAAGATGAATTAGCAAGAAAAAGTGGTGCTGAGAAAATACTAGTAGAAGAAAAAGAAGGCTTACAGATGCAGGTGATGGAGTTGGAATCCGAGGTGGACGTTCTTCGCAAGCAGAAAACTAAATTAGAAGACAGTGAGCGGAGTAATATTCGTGAAATCAATCAATTGAGAGATGATAAGAGTCGCCTAAATGCTAAAATTCTAGAGCTGGAAGCACTATTTCAGCAGAAAGAACTCGAGATTTCAGCTATTCAGGAGAATTACGAAAGTAAACGGCTTGAAGAAACTGCTCAGAACATGACTTTGAATGCAGAGATTGAACTTCTGCAACAGAAGTTGGAATTCATGAAGATGGAGAAAAGCAGTTTGGAGGAGCGGATCGTTGATCAGAAGAGAATCATGAAACAAAGAGAGGACAATGCAAACAATACTTTGGAGTCGAACTCGAAGCTTGCCAGACGATTATCGACAGGAACCAATTTTAATATCAATGTCTTGGAAAGAAAGATGGAGGATTTAGCAGAAGAGTTCCGCAAGAAAACCGAAGATAATATCCGAATTTTATACCAGAGGATCATGGTTGCTGAAAAGATACATTACGACAACAAAGATACTTACAAGACTATAAAAGAAAAGCTAGAGCAAGAGAATGAAGCACTTACAGGGAAGCTTAAAGCTTCTGATGCTGAGCTTAGGAAGATGAGAGATTCATTGGAGGCAGGCAAAAAGGAATGGACAGAGTCAAACTCGACGTTAAAGCAAGAAAATGGAGTACTTGGGAAAAAGCTTGCCAGTTGTGAAGCTGAGCTCAAGAAGTTGAAAGATCCAACGGAGTCAATGAAAATTGCAGTGACTGGATTGAATTCGAGGCGGGATCTAGAAAATGAAGTACTTACAAATAAGCTTGCCAATTCTGAAGGTGAGCTCAAGAAGTTAAGGGATTCAATGGAGGTAGGCAAAGATGCATTTGCTGAATCGAATTCGAGGCTAGAGCAAGAGAATGGAGCACTTAAGGAGAAGCTTGTCGCTTGTGAAGCTGAGCTGAGGAAGACGAGAAGTTCGATCAAGGCGGGAACAAATGCATTGGCTGAATCAAATGCAAGGCTAGAACAAGAAAACAGAAAGCTTAGAAGGAAGCTTGCTTCCTGTGAAGCTGACCTGAGGATGTTGATGGATTCAACTGAGGCAAGCCAAAATGCATTGACTGAATCCAATTCACGACTCGAGCACGCAAACAGAGAACTTAACGAGAAGCTTGCCTCTTGTGAAGCTGACCTGAGGATGTTGAGGGATTCGACGGAGGCAAGCCAAAATGCATTGACTGAATCCAATTCACGACTTGAGCAAGCAAAAAGAGAACTTAACGAGAAGCTTGCTACTTGTGAAGATGAGCTATGCAAGTTAAAGGATTCAATCGATGCAGATGCTTTGAATGAATCGAATTCAAGGCTAGTGCAGGAAAATGAAGCACTTGGTGAAAAGCTTGCAAGTTCTGAAGCGGAGCTGAGGAAGGTGCGGGAATCAAATAGAGAGCTTAACGAGAAGCTTGCCACTTGTGAAGCTGAAGTATGCAAATTAAAGGATTCGAATGAATCAAATTCAAGGCTAGTGCAGGCAAATGAAACACTTACTGAAAAGCTTGTAAGTTCTGAAGCTGAGCTGAGGAAGGCGAGAGAATCAAGTAGAGAACTTAACGAGAAGCTTGCCACTTGTGAAGATGAGCTATGCAAGTTAAAGGATTTGAATGAATTGAATTCAAGGCTAGTGCAGGTAAATGAAGTACTTGGTGAAAAGCTTGCAAGTTCTGAAGCTGAGCTGAGGAAGGTGAGGGAATCAAATAGAGAACTTAACGAGAAGCTTGCCACTTGTGAAGCTGAGCTATGCAAGTTAAAGGATTTGAATGAATCGAATTCAAGGCTAGTGCAGGCAAATGAAGCACTTGGTGAAAAGCTTGCAAGTTCTGAAGCTGAGATGAGGAAGGTGAGGGAATCAAATAGAGAACTTAACGAGAAGCTTGCCACTTGTGAAGCTGAGCTATGCAAGTTAAAGGATTCGATTGAATCGAATTCAAGGCTAGTGCAGGCAAATGAAGCACTTGGTGAAAAGCTTGCAAGTTCTGAAGCTGAGCTAAGGAAGGTAAGGGAATCAGCAGAGGTAAGGGAAAATGCATTGACCCAATCAAACTCAAGGCTAGTGCTCCAAATTGGAGAACTTGAAGAAAAGCTTGCCACTTGTGAAGCTGAGCTGAGTAACTTAAGGGATGCAATGAATGAATCGATTTCATCGGTAGATGAAACTTCCCAGACCGGCATTTCAAATGTCGAAGACCAGCTTGTTTCAATGAATGACATGAATACAATGTTAGCAGAAATCAGTAAGGAAAACGAGTTGTTGAAGGAGAAGGTTTCAAGTTTAGAAGCCAAGTTGAGCGAGGAAGAAGAAGAAAAGCTGAAGCTTTTGGAAGCCATTACAGAGCTCGAGACTCGAGTGAAAGCATTGGAGAAGATTACAAAAGAAAAAGATGAAGAATTGTTGGGCAGGGAAGAAGAAAAGAGGGTAGCCATTAGAGAGCTCTGCCAGTTGATCGACTATCATCGCTGCCGCTATGATGAACTCAAGGAAATGATCAACATCAACACTGTCATAACCATGAAAAAACATGAAACTTGTCACATATATTTCAAAAGATGAAAACCGCCCAAATCGATTCAAAATAAAGATGTTATTTAGTAAAAGATTATTCAATTTTATTTAAATTTGATTGTTTGTGTTACATTTTAAATTCAAATTAATTTTGCTTTCTCGAAACCAAAAAATATATGTTAATAAAAATGATTAAAATCGAAATAATTAAATAAAATATTTAATTTTTGATTCATTCGATAACTGAAATTATGTGAATTCAAGGAGGCAATTATTTTTTAAGGATTTAAATCCGATTTATAGTGAGTAGAAATATTTTGTTTTTCGACAGCCAATTTGAACATGAAAATGTCAGAGGATGTGGTTTAAATTAAGGTGTAAACTTTGTATTTAATCATAAAACAATCACTTTAGTTCAGATTTGGTCATTCAACTATACTTTAGGTTTTAGTTTCATTTTGATCACCTAACGTTAAAAAGTTAACAAAATTGTTGAAGTAACTTTTTTATTTTTTCAATAATGATGTGGTATTACTTTATGGTAGCACATCAGTGTTATCGTTAATTTTTTAACGACATATGATCAAAATGTAATAATGTTAGTGATGATTCTGGGAAAAAAATAGTTGGGTGACCAAAATAGAATCAAAGTAATAATTGGATGAGTAAACACATAGTTTATCCTAAACTAAAAGTAAAATATATTAGAGATGATGGAATTATATTCAAACAATTATTTTGGTTATTAAAATGTTATAATTTATAAAATGAATATTAAATTATTATAAAATAATTATTAAATTTTATTAAAATATTCTAAAATTATTATTAAATTTATTAAAATGTTATATTTATTATAATAACTATTTTATAATAATTAATAAATTTAATAATTATTTAAAAAAATTAAAATTTCAATCATCAGAACTACAATTTAAGCCTAATTTAGATCCCTTGTGTTGTATAATTGCTCTCTTGTGACGAGAAATTGAAAGGGCATAACCGAAATAAAATAGCAAAAACAGGGGTAGTTAATTGTAATTAGAATAAAAGAAAGCTCCAAAAAAATCCATTCCGTCCCCTGAAATGGAAAAGCTAGAACCATGCTTTTCAACATTTATCAAACAACTAACTCTTTCTCGGTTCCTCTTTTCTTTTCTTTTTCTTTTTTTGGCAAACAATGAAGAAGGCGAAAAGGAGAAGCTGGCGAAAGCCGTGAATCAGCTAGAGAAGACGGTAATGAAAGAGAAGGATGAAGGCATCCTTGGACTAGGGGAGGAGAAGAGGGAGGCCATCAGGCAGCTGTGCTTGTGGATCGAATATCACTGCAGCCGCTGCGATGATCTAAAGGAAATAATCTCGAAAACTATGAGAGTCCAGCGGGCAGCCTAGAGGAATTCCCGTTACTATTCTTTTATATTGTACGTTGGGGTTTTGCATTTATAGATTTTTATTTCTCATTATTTCATTGGTTTTTTCCTTTTCAAATAAACATTTTCAGGTAATTTTCAGTCGGCTTGTGTTTCATAAAACTTGTTTGCCTGTAGGAAAAAAAATATCGGGTTTTGAGCACATTTCCTATATAAGAGGTGAAGAACAAGAACTAATATAGGTTCTAACTTGATCTTATGTGTATTCAGGCCAATTTTGTCGAATATGAGACATACTATTAGATGTCGGCCCAATCTTTCTACAAGTCTCAGCAGTGAATTGAAGAAAAAGAACTCCTTAATTAGCAACTACCAACGTCTTCCGTGAAAGGAAAAAAACATCATCAAAAAGTCAAATTCTAACCCAGAAAACATTAATAAAACAAAAGGACACCATTGTTAAGAAGTAAGAACCCCCAACAAAAATGCTACCAGTTACAGCTTTCTGCTAAAAGTCTTCATTTTTTTCTCAAAAAAGTGAAAACAAAAAATTTATTATCTTAATTAGCAAGAATCTCCCACAACAATTCAGCATCTAAAGACGGCATTCTAGCAAGCGAACATTCTTCAAACATCGGCTCCTCTGTAATTACCGTCGGATAATCATTCAAATCGGAGGACGGTGAGTTCTCACATCTCCAAAAACCATCTTCCGACACATTCGGCGACGGCGACGACAACGACGGATAAGACGACGGGAATGGCTCCGATACTTTCGCTTGTTTTGCAGCTTTCTTCTCTCTTTTCACCTTTTGACAAATGGCTTGAATCTTAGCGTCCACCGTGTTCTTCAGAGCATTCAGTTTAGCACAGTCTGCAAACCCCAACTCGGTCACGTCATTCACGGCGGGGAAATTCAGCCTCGCGTATTCGCCTCGGAGCATATACGCGGCGCGATCGTAAGCATAAGCGGCGGCTTCGGCCGTGTCGTAAGTGCCTAACCATACACGTACTCTATTCAGCGGCAGTCTGATTTCGGCCACCCACTTTCCCAATTGCCTTTGCCTCACCCCTCTGTATAGCTTCTTCTTTTGAGTGATGCTCCAGTAATTGGTCGTCGATGGTGGGTTTCGGTAGTTTTGAAGAATACCCTTTGTGGATTTTCGTGAAACCGAAGGGCTTCCTCTGTTTTGTTGGCAGAATTTTTGTAGGAGATCTCGTTGCCGGAGATAGACCGATGAGCCTAATGGCTCGTTAATGGCGGTTGATGGAGTTGGGCAATGGGAAAACACGGAATCTAAAGTATTCGAGCCGCCTGATAATATGATCTGCGACAACGAAGACCCGAGATCGACGCCATTGTTGAATTCAAGGGAATGGTTGATTTCTTGCATTTCTACCCAGGACTTCAAAAAAACTGTCCTTTTTTCTTTGAAAAAATACAAAATCAAAATGCAAAATGTAAAAAAAGAACCAAAAAGTTTGGATTTAAGGAAATGGATACTTAACGATGAAGAAAAACTTTTCTAATTGAGAAAATCCAGGAGTGGAAGAAGGAAGGAAATTATTTGAATGACTAATGATTTTGGTCCAATCTTTTGCTGTATTTATAGCAGATCAGTAGATAAAGCAACATGTTGTCCAGATTTCTTATTAACCTTCAACAATAATAAAAAAAAATCTTTATTTTAATAATTCTTCTATATCTTCAAATATGTTTTTTATTTTTGAAACCTCTAACTTTACTTAAGTGATTTAATACTTCTCACATTAGATAAATTAATTGTTGGTTACAAGTTATTGGTTACAACTATCTCCTCAATCATTGAAATAACTTATTTCAAACAACTTTTATATTCTTTATTAAAATAATAAAGAATGAAATGTTTTCATAACATAATTTTCCTTAACTTAATTCATACAACTTTTATATGGTTCCCATCACGTGCGTGTCCGTACTTTTCACAACTTTAGAAATTTATTACAAGACAGAGTCAGCCTGTCGTCTCCCCTCTCTGCCACACACACAATTTCGTTCAAATTTATTTTCTGAACGAAATCCCAAAATTATTTCTCTACAAAACTCCTCCCCTTTGTTGTCTTCTTCGCCCATTTTAGATAATGTACACGAATTTTAAGCTAAATATGTCATCCTACAATACAAAACGAATCAAATAAATTATATTAATAAAATTGAATTATAATTTTATTGTTTTTAATTATATAAAAATATTCTTTCGATTTTCATTCCCAATAGAGTTAGTATTGAAAAACTATCTAAATTTAATATTGGAAGGATACGACTTGCTTTCAAGATAGTTTAAATTTGAAATTAAAAAAAAATATTTGAATTACAAATAATTCAAAAATTTATTGGTGTAGGGACCAAAGCTGGTGAAAGACACCAGTGCCCTCCTATTTGTATTTGCGTGTGAAATATCAACTTGCTTTGCTTTTTACATCCTTTCTTTTAACAATTACCTTTTGTTTTCAATATTAAATATATTTTTCATGAAAAAAATGTAATCGTGGACCGATGTTTTACACCATTTTTTAAAATTCTCTTACATATATCCTCTTTTTTTTTTTGGGTTAATTTTCAATTTCAAAAGATTTTATTCTTATATTCTTTTTATAGAAAATGGCATTGGAGTAATTATGTAATAAAATTTTGGGTGGTAAATCAAAAAACGTCGGTAAAAGCCGTCGCTAAAGACAGCTAAAATGCAGTTAGGAAATGGAAGTGGAAATTAATGAAGGTGGGGGTAGGTTTCAAAAAAGTTGAGTTTTGGCAGTATGTGCCATCGGCCTGGTCCAAGCCACGCCGACTTTAAACCGGTGGTTCGGTTTCGTGGGGTTCCGAAAGGACAAAATCGATCAAATGAAGCGTTGAAAAAAAAATCGGCTCGTACAAAATAGTGGTGGAAATCTTTTATGAGATAAGATAATTGTTATAGTATTATTGAGGAAGATGTCGGGAGCATAATATGTATTTATGAAGACAACCGTTATAATACATCTTTTATTTTGTTACTTCGTTAATCTTGACGTTTCAATTGCATGGAATATGAGAAAAATGTATTGTATTTTCGATATCTTTTCCGACATTGCAATAATCATCACATATCAAAATGTATTTTTTTACCACCCTATACAAGTCAATATTTTTCTCCAACCTCACCTGTGATTAATTTTGGCTCTCCAAAAGATAACACGTGTTTCTTTGTCATTCGTTTATGGACTCCTAAATTTAAATAAAATAATATAATTTATGAAATAATAATTTAAAAATAATACTATTACCATAATCTAATTTAACATTAAATTTATATGTCGAATATGAATAATTGCATAAAATAAAGAATTGAAATTTGACTGGTTTAGAATGAACCATCGCGGCATTGCCTAAAGTTGACATAAATTGAGGCCATGACATTTAATAAATAACATGATGATTGACTTAAAAAACCCGATAATAATAACAATAAAAGCAATAAGAACGCAAAGTCAATTAATAAATATTTTGTAAGAACCAAACGACATCAGTGGTTGAAAGACTCGTTATTCTTTGAGGTATCGAGTTCGAACACCGTGTATACCAAGAGCATGAGCGTTCATTGTCAAAGGATTGAGAGTCTTGGAATAGATATTATGTTGTATTCACTCCAAATTTATTAAAAAAATAATAAATATTTTATTTAGGGGAAGTATTTGAAAAATTATAAAATAATTGTTTTTAATTATGTACATGCAGTATATTAAGTAAGTGTAATTATATCACTAAATTAAGTGTAATTTTGAGTCAATTTGATCATTTGTAGATTTATATGACCTTCCTAGTACTATTTTAGTACTATAATCATGTTTAAATTTTGTATAAATATACCTTATAAGAAAAACTAATATAAATATACAAATGACATAATAATTTTTGTTATATGGGTCGTATATCATGGTGTATTATATATGAATCTTATATAGTTAGATTTTAATTATTTTATATCATGCTTGTTTGGGTAAATTATGCTATTAGTCAGTAAACTTTTAAGTGTTGTCTTTTTTATTACATAACTATCAAAAATTTCAATTAAAGTATTACATTTTTTAATTGTTATTTTAGTTACCGAGCTGCTAAATCGTAAATAGTAAGATGACATGAATGCTATGTTCTATTTTTTATATATAGAAAATAATAAATCCCTTTCGCCGACGTTGCTCATTGTCGATTGTCACTTACGATAAAATTAGTACAAAAACAATCACGTTTCTTTCCTCTTTATTATTTCCCGTTTGATTTTTCATAAAATTCACTAAAAAATTGACGATAAATTCATCCAAAACTTCGACATTTTGATGTTTTGATATACTTCGATGATTGTATGATGAAACTAATTTCAATATATATTGTTCATCTTCTCGAAAGAAATTGTCCTCATTGTTTGAATTTTTAGATGAACATGTTAAACTCCTCAAATTCAACAAAACCACAAGCACCGAAATGATGATTTTTTATGTTTGGTTTCGTCAATTTTATATAAATATGCATGAAATTATTGAACAACAAATCAAAATCGTTTGCTGTTATTTCATATATATCTTTTATTTATTTTAATTTTAATCTTATTAGTATAATATTCAATATTATTTTAAGATAATTTTGAATAAAACTTCGAATTTCTTTAAAAAATAACGATTTGCAAGAGGGGGCGAAAACGATGCCGTTTCAAGTTCTCTGATCAAACGATCCCCCCTTCCTCTCCTTTTGTTAAACCCTTGTTCAAGCTCTTGATTCAATCAATGTCTAAGCTCTTTAGATTCGACGAGAAAACCAAATTTGGAAGTAATGAAGTGGAAAGCAGTTAAAAAAAAACAGGCATCCCGACAAGGTTTCATTTTAAAAGGTTAGAAACTTCAATTCTTCTCCTTTCTCTCGTTCTTGCTTTGTATAACTCGTTTGAAGTGAAATTATGTGTGTGTATATATATATTTCAATGAATTATATGTTCTATAGGTTGTTTTTGAAGCACAAAGAACTGGGTTCATCTTAAAATATGGAAACGAATTATGTTCTTTTGGTGGGATTTCTTCTGCTGCTAGTTGTTGTCGGTTGCTCTGGTAATGATTCAAAGGTGAGTTTCGTTAACAAATGAAGCTTACTTAATTAGTTAAGCTTGTTGATGGGATTAAGATAGTTTCTCATTGATGCTTTGTTTTAGGGAAATGGCAATGAAAAGACTGGTTTAGATCGGAATGTAGATGGAAAAGAAGATCCGGTTACAGAAAGAGTTGATTCTGAATATATTGCGGATCGGATTAAAGTTGATGGAAGAGGTCAAATTGATGGATCAGAGAAGGGTGTTGATAATGGTGCAAGTAAGAGCGAACTAAACCAGCAATTGGGTTCGGATGAAGGTAAGAGTTTGGTAAAGGTTGGGAAGGAATCAAGTGGTGAAGTGAAAGGAAATACGAACAGTGGGAAAGTTCACGGAGGAGATCAAGTTGATGGATCAAAAGGGGGTGCTGATAATGATGCAAGTAAGAGCGATTTGGACCAGCAATCCGGTTCGAATGAAGGCAAGAATTTGATAAAGGATGGGAAAGAATCGAGTGGTGAAGTGAAAGGAAACACTAGTGGGAAAGATAATAGAGGAGATCAAATTGATGGATCAAAAGGGGGTGCCGATAATGATGCAAGTAATAGCGGTTTAAAACAGCAATTGGGTCCGAATGAAGTTAAGAATTTGGTAAAGGATGGGAAAGAAATGAGTGGTGAAGCAAAAGGAAATAAGAGCAGTGGGAAAGATAACAGAGGAGATCAAATTGATGGATCAGAAGGAGGTGCTGATAATAATACAAGTAAGAGCGATTTGAATCAGGAATCAGGTTCGAATGAAGGCAAGGATTTGATAAAGGATGGGAAAAAGTCAACTGGTGAAGCAACAGGAAATACGGACAGTGGGATAGATAACGGAGGAGATCAAATTGATGGATCAAAAAGGGGTGCTGATAATGAAGCAAGCGAGAGCAATTTGAACCACAAATCGGGTTCAAATGAAGGCAAGAATTTGGTAAAGGATATGAAAACATCCAATGGTGAAGCTAAAGGAAATACAAATAGTGGGAATAATCATGGAGGAGATCAGATTGATGGATCAGAAGGGGGTGCTGATAATGATGCAAGTAAGAGCAATTTGAACCAACAGTCAGGCTCGAATGAAGGCAAGAATTTGGTAAAGGATGGGAAAGAATCGAGTGGTGAAGCGAAAGGAAATACAAATAGTGGGAAAGATCATGGAGTAGATCAAATTGATGGATCAAAAGGTGTTGATGATAATGATGCAAGTAAGGGTGGTTTGAACCAGAAGTCGAGTTTGAATGAAGGCAAGAATTCATTAAAGGATGGGAAAGAATCAACAAATAGTAGGAAAGATAAGGGAGGAGATCAGGTTGACGGATCAGGAAAGGGTCCAAAGAAAGTGAGCGAAGAGGAAGATATTATACAGGGCTCAGTCCAACCACCGCCTCCGCTAACAAGGAATGATGGCTTTCAAGTTGCAGAATGCGATTCATCTAATATGTGTATGGATATGAATAAAAGTTTTGCTGCCTGTTTGCGAGTTGCAGGCAATGGTAAGTGTACTCTAACTGGATTTTCATCGGGCGTGACATTTTTATTGTAGACACTCATTAAAAAGGTTGCATGTTGCGTATAATAGAAAAGAATATAAATTGATGATCACAATCGACAATCTTTCACCTTTTTAACTTTGGTTTGCAATATTCCAGATTCTCCCAATCTGTTACTTCTGATTCAAAACAAGGGAAAGGGAGCTCTAAACCTTAAGATATCTGCTCCTCCTTTTGTTCAGTTAGAGGAAAAGGATGTTGAACTCGAAGAGAATCAGGATAAAAAGGTATTTGTAAACAATACTGTAACTTATTAAGATCACAAATTGTTGCTCGCTTAAGGTCTTACTACGGTTTTCTAGTATAATTTAATGGTTTGAATTTTGTCTTGATTACTCGATTTGCAATCAGTTCTAATGCCATTTCACACAAGCACACCAGAAAAGAATTTGGGTCAGAAGAAAGTCGATGAACTTTTGTAGCCATCATCTTAGCACATTTTTTTTGTTTGAAAAGGAAGTCTTATTGATTACTGTTCTGATGGTGTTCTGTGAGCACTTCCTGCTTTGTAAATGATACCGATGACATAAGAATGTTGTTTCATTCAATGTATTTGCGCAGGTAAAGATTTCCTTAAAGAGTTCCGGAACTGGAAACTTGATTGTCTTGAAGGATGGTACCGGAGAGTGCAGTATTGATTTCAAGGACTTGATCCCTCAAAATTCAGCCACGTCCTATGTAAACTTCTTTTCACTAACCCCTACGACGGCCTTTATAATCGCTGCTACTATTTTGATTTTAGCGTCATGTTGGATGGGCAAGAGCTTTAGATGGAAGCAAATCGCCACTGGCCCGAAATACCAAAGACTAGACGTGGGGCTGCCTGTATCTAGTAAGGCAAAAAGAGAACCAGAGGTTGATGATGGTTGGAATAACAGCTGGGGTGATAACTGGGATGACGAGGAGGCACCGGTGACACCTTCAATGCCTAAAACTCCCAGCGTCTCCACCAAAGGACTTGCGTCGCGACGATTGAGTAAGGAAGGATGGAAGGACTAGCGTCGTTTTCGTTTACGTAAGCAGCCGAAACCCGAGTGAGGGGAGGAGGAACAAGAGGTGGTCTTTTTTTGTTTCTTAAAATTCTCAATTGGAATGAAAATGGAAACAATAACATGATGGAGGGCTTCCATGATGATATTAATGTAGCATTTGATCTATTTTATCTAACGAGTTCAGATGGATTAGAGTAAAACCCCCATATCACTATTTGCAAACATATACTTTAAAACATGTTGCAATTAATCACTAGTCATAATTATTGTATAAATAGCTTAAAATAAACTGTATAAATGAATATTGTTGTATAAAAAGTAATTATACCATCATTATTTATCATGTATTTTCCGTTTATTTTACTCATTTTCTTCCATTTTAGTTAGAAAATAATAAAAATCAAGTACTTTAAAACTATATTAAAGTAATATAAAATTATTAGAAAAACAAAAAATAAAAAATTTAGTTAAACGAAAATATAATTATCATTAATGGCAACTTTTAAAAATAAATTATGTTTAACAAGTGGTTATATTAGAATTGATGCAATATACAATTTAATTTAATAATAATTAAAATCATTTCATAAATATTTATATTTTTTATTCTTTGTAATTATATGTAACAACCCGAATATTTACAAAATAATATATAATTGAAATTTTAGAGGTTAATTGTGAAAATTGGTAAATTGTTGGTGACTAAATCAAAATTTATGAGAGTTTATAGGCCATTTTAGAAGTGAAGGAAATCCAAGGACCAAGCCTTGAATTTACCCTAAAACTGTCGGCAGCTTTGATTATAAGCGTACATTTGATTCTGATTTTCAGAACCAAAATGCTCCCAATTTTCCTTTCCCATACGCAGTTTCCAACTCCGATTCCGACGCCATCCAAATTCCGATCATCGTTTTAAACCCACCGTTGTGTTCATCATCGAGCGAGGAACAAACCCTTCAAATTAATTGAAGCGAAACGTGGCCAAACGTCGGGAATTTCCAGTCAAAGTAGCGACGGTTTTGTTAGCTCTATCGCCGAGGAAATCTTAAATTCACCGCTGATCGTTGCTCCGTTTACGACACCTCCCGCACCATCGTGTTCCTTGTGCCGTTCTGAGTTCACCGGTGTCAACCTTGTTCGCCGTAGACGGCGGCGCGTGAGGAGGTGGTGCAGTCAAAGATTCGGCCGATTTGAAATCGAGCTCTCCGCCGTTCAAAAATTTGAACCGATCGTTGTAAGTATCTTGAAATCGCTCAAAATAATTTTTAGAAATTTTTCCGGGATTTTTAGGGCCCCGGAGGATGCCTCACGCGCCACACGCGCCGCCGCAGGGCGAGTGGCTGCTGGAAACCGGTTTAACCGGTTTTCAACCGGTTCTGACCAGTTTGACCGGTCTGACCCGACCCGACCGTTGACCCGACCCGACCCGACCGTTGACCCGACCCGACCGTTGACCGTTGACTTTCTTTGACCAAAACTTAAAATGGCTTTGACCGAGCATTAAACGACCGTTAATCTTTTCCGAGTATACCTATCCTGATAGTTTTCGACGTGACGAATCCGTTTCCGTGGTCCGTTTTGTCAAATTCAAATTCGAAGGTCTCCAAATCTACGGTCAAAGTGGTTGACTTTGACTTTGACCAAGAATTTGAATTTTTGAAAAGTCATACTTTATGTTTTTCGACGCCTTGATTTCGATTCCGCAATCCGTTTGGCCAAATTCAGACTCGAAATACCTCAAATTGATAGTCAAACCCGAAAAATGCGTATATACTTAAGAAGTTTAGCTTTGAACAATTAAATAGGATTTGAGACTGATAAATATTATTGTTTGAAGGTACAAGAGACTCTCCGAATCGTTCGACAGCTTGACCCAGCTCTTCTAGATCAGTTAAACCACGTGTGCCAGTATTCACCCGTTCGAAAACTGTAGCAGAGCGTGGTGAAACCAGCAATCAGTAGATTTGTTATTTGAATCTATTGTCGAGGTGTGTTCCCTACTTGTTATTGAACTGTTTTATTGGTTTTAATACGTGGTACACCGAATTCATTGGCTATTGTTTTATGGATGCACCAATTTAATGTGACAATTTATGGAATATGGCTGCTATCTAATTTTTGTTTTGAAATGGTATATGATTACCATGTTTTTGGATTTATGGAATTTATGTCACGGTGCAATTGAATTTTGGAATTGAAATACGATGGAATAGCTCTGATCAAGCTAACTGGGCCTAATGTGACTCTTGAGGGCCCCAAGATGTTTCATTAGGTCGGCTTTCCTTTGCTGTGTGCTTAGGGTAAGCTATATGGACTTATTGACTTGGGCTTAAGGATACAAGCTTCAGAGCCTATCCTTAAGTCGGCTTTCTTTTTGCTATGTGCATAAAGTAAGCTATATGGAAAATAATTTTGGGAACTACTGATGGTGTACCAGAAAAGGGTTTAAACTATGATTTTCAAAAAGTTAAACTCTTTTACGAATTTGTGAGATTACTGGACTATGATTTGTACCTATTGTGATTTTATGGAAATGTTGGGACACACTGAGCCTAGCTCACCTTTTGAAAATGTTTTCCCCCTTTCAGATACTGTTGGGTAGATACCTTGGTTCGAGCACTTGGAGGATCAACATATCTCTTGAAGTAAATCAGATTGTAATGTTTTTATCTGGCAAGTTGACTTTATTTTGGTGACATGGACCTTATTTTAAAATATCAGATTTTATAATGTGAATTTATATTGATGGAATAACGGTTGCGAAAAATGTCTTTAATAATTATAATGTGATCCACTAGACTTAGTCGAAACGCATAGGCCGGGTCTAGGGGGTTACATTTATTGGTATCAGAGCTTTTGGTTTTTAACCCTCGGACTGTATATGAGTCCACATTGAAAATACGGTTTTGAAATATTTTACAAAACGAGTTACTAAGGCCATGTCACAAAGTTATTAAGATTTTAACTATGTATGAGACTTCAAGTGCTTATCTAACCCTAAGTTTTATCTTCTGTAGTAAACTTGAGATCCATCAAAATGAGTGCTAGACGTAGTCGTCGAACTAGCCGTGGACGAGGTCGAGTGGCTAGATTCGCAGATCCGATCGATGAGATACGGGTAGATCCCCCACCTCCGATAGGTGATCATGCTCCTACGACCCCAACGGATCTGCCTCCTGCCGCTGGTATTGGTATGACTACACCGATAATAGGAGCGACCGATATTGAGTCAGAGTCTACCGGAGTTGCTTTGGATGAGAATTTTGGTAGACAATTTTTGCAGTTAATACAGGGAGCAGTCAGAGCTACTGGTGTTGTATCTGAGGTTCCTATTTCGCAGACTTTGATTGCCAATGGAGTTAGAACTTTTGGGGGACAGATAGGTGGAGCTCCTACTGAAGTTGAGGATTGGCTCCAGGATACAGAGAGACGCATGGATCAGTTGGGTTTGGACTCAACTAAGAGATATCAGGGTGCTGTGGCGATGTTAGATGGCAATGCCTACACTTGGTGGGAGTCAGTGACCAGTAGTGTTCCTACTGATCGTTTGACCTGGAATTTCTTTAAGGATCGCTTTCGGAGCCGTTTTATGGGAGAGCGCTACTTAGCTCAGAGACGACAACAGTTTCAAGACCTGGTTCAGGGAGACATGACTGTTTCTGAATATGAGATCGAGTTCCTGAAGTTGCTGAAGTATGGATTCAGTATGGTACCTACGGAGAGAGATCGATGTCGTAAATTTGCCCTTGGACTCAGATACGAGCTGCGTAGGCAAGTTGTAACCCATCAGAATGAGATATTTGATGTGCTGGTGGGCAGAGCCAAAGATGCGGAAGAGGTGGAGGTTTTAGCTTCTGGTAGAGAGCGTGTTGATCAAGATCGATCTAAGAAATTTTCAGGCCCGATGGAGTTATCAGCACAGTCCGGAAAGAGGACTCGTACTTCAGCCCCTCAGAGAAGCAATACACGTTTCAGGCCTGCAGCATCCTCACCTTTAGCTATCAGTCGAGGCGGTTCCTCGTCGTATTATAATGGGCCCCTTTGTGAGTATTGTGGTAAACAGCACTCAGGAGAGTGTCGTAAGAAGATGGGTCTTTGCTATCAGTGTGGATCTAGTGGTCATTATCGGAGGGATTGTCCTCAGTTAGTTTCGTTTGAGCAGACCACTACCCAAACTCATGTGCGTTCGTAGACTACAGTACAGACCCCAATTAGAGATCGTAGTCAAGGAAAGACTCGAGGATCAGCGTCCAGGACAGACAGTAGAGCCCGACCTTAGCAAAATAGAGGGCCAACAGCTTCTGAGGCTAGACAGCCAGCTTTAGTTTATGCAACTAGATGTCGTGATGACAGAGATGAGCCTGAGGTTATTGCAGGTACATTTACTATTTATTCTACCCCATACTTTGCATTATTGGACAATGGCTCCACTCACTCCTATGTATCGAGCTAAGTATCTCGAAACCTTCAGATTCCGATCGAGAACACTGAAAATACTGTTACAGTTACAAGTCCAGTAGGACAAGCGATATTAGTGAATAAAGTATTTCGGCGTTGTCCTCTCGAGGTTCAAGGAGAAATTTTTCTCGCTGATCTTATGGAACTTCCTTTAGGGGAGTTCGATCTAATTCTTGGAATGGATTGGTTGAATAAACACAAGGTAAAGCTAGATTGCGAATACAAGCGGGCTACTCTGAAGACTTCAGATGGTCGGACTGTTGTGTTAATTGGTGAACGGCGTGGTTATCTCTCCAATATAGTTTCAGCGATGGAAATTGATCATATGATCCGGAAGGGATATGAGACCTTCATTGCTTGTATTTTGAACACCAAAGGTGCATTGTCCACGATCGAGGAGATTCGTACAGTTAGCGAGTTTCCTGATGTTTTTCCGGAGGAGTTGCCTGGGTACCTCCTGATAGAGAGGTAGAGTTCGAGATTGAGACTTATCCAGGATCTTCACCTATTTCTATGGCACCTTATCGTATGGCTCCAAAGGAACTTAAGGAGTTGAAAGTCCAATTGCAAGAATTATTCGATCGAGGATTTATCCGACATAGTACTTCACCATGGGGAGCTCCAGTTCTATTCGTGAAAAAGAAGGATGGGTCGCTAAGATTATGTATTGACTATCGGAAATTGAACAAGATGACGGTCAAGAATAAATACCCATTACCCAGGATTGATGACTTATTTGATCAATTGCGAGGAGCTACTGTATTCTCTAAGATTGATCTTCGTTCAGGGTATTATCAATTGAAAGTTAAAGGATCTGATGTTGCAAAAACGGCCATTCGCACTAGATATGGTCATTATGAATTTTTAGTGATGTCTTTTGGTTTGATGAACACTCCTGTAGCTTTTATGGATTTGATGAATCGGGTGTTCCAACCATATTTGGATCAATTTGTGGTGGTCTTCATTGACGATATTCTGATCTATTCTCGTACTGAGGCAGAGCATGACGAGCATTTGAAGATCGTTCTGCGGACTTTGAGAGAGCATCGTCTATATGCCAAACTAAGCTAGTGTGAGTTTTGGCTTCAAGAAGTGTCATTTCTGGGGTATATTATTTCTGCGCGAGGTGTTCAGGTTGATCCCAGCAAGTTAGAGGCTATTATGAATTGGAAACGACCTAAGAACGTATCTGAAATCCACAGTTTCTTGGGATTGGCTGGTTATTATCGACGTTTTGTTGAGGGCTTCTCGATCATTGCTTCTCCTTTGACAAAGTTGTTAAGGAAGAATGTGCTGTTTGACTGGGGCGTGGCACAACATGAGAGCTTTGAGAAATTAAAGGCGGTTTTGACTCAAGCATCGGTGTTGATTCAACCAGAGTCTGGGAAGGATTTTACAGTGTATAGTGATGCTTCACATTCAGGACTTGGTTGTGTTTTAATGCAGGAAAGTAAGGTGGTGGCTTATGCATACCGTCAGCTGCGGCCGCATGAGAGTAACTATCCTACTCATGATTTAGAGTTGGCAGCAGTAATTTTTGCCTTGAAGATTTGGAGACACTATCTTTATGGAGAGAAGTGTTACATTTTCACAGATCATAAGAGCTTAAAGTATCTTCTGACCCAGAAGGAACTTAATTTGAGACAGCGTCGCTGGTTAGAGCTCCTAAAGGATTATGATTGTGTGATTGATTACCACCCTGGTAAAGCTAACATTGTAGCATATGCTTTGAGTCGAAAGACGGTATCAGAGTTGAGGTCTTTAATGACCAAGATGAATTTATATGACGATGGCACTTTGTTAGCAGAATTGCAAGTTAAGCCGACCTTGGTTGATGAGATCAAAGCTAAGCAACCCCTTGATAGCTCCTTGCTTTCCATCTTTGAGCAAGTAGAGCAGGGGACAAACACAGATTACACAATTGATCAGGATGAAGTTTTATGCTTTAAAGGTAGATATTGTGTGCCTGATGATGCTGAGTTGAGGCAGACTATCCTTACTGAGGCTCATAGTAGTCCATATGCTATGCACCCCGGAGGAGATAAGATGTACCGGAATTTGAGAGAGAGGTATTATTGGATTGGTATGAAGAAAGACATATCTGACTTTGTGGCTAGGTGTTTGACTTGTCAGCAAGTTAAGGCAGAACATCAACATCCATCAGGTTTGTTACAGCCTATCAAGATTCCTGAATGGAAGTGGGAGCGTATTACTATGGATTTTGTTACTGGCTTGCCGATGACTCCTTCGAAAAAAGATTCAGTTTGGGTGATTGTTGACAGACTTACAAAGTCATCTCACTTCATTCCGGTGCGAGTAAATTATACTTTGGATAAGCTGGCAAGATTGTATATTTCAGGGATTGTCAGATTGCATGGTGTTCCATTGTCTATTATTTCTGATCGAGATCCGAGATTTACTTCGAGATTTTGGAAGGCGTTACATACGGCTTTGGGAACAAGATTGGATTATAGTACATCCTTTCATCCACAAACTGATGGTCAATCTGAGAGAGTAATTCAGATTCTGGAGGATATGTTGCGGGGTTGCGTAATCGATTTTCATGGTAGTTGGGAGAACTTTTTGCCGTTGGCTGAATTTGCTTACAATAACAGTTATCAGACCAGCATTTGTATGGCACCCTATGAAGCGCTCTATGGGCGTAAATGTCGCACTCCGATCTGTTGGACTGAGTTGCGTGATAGGAAAACGTTGGGACCTGAGTTAGTGCGAGAGACGGAGGACACAGTCAGATTAATCCGTGACCGTCTGAAAGAGGCATTTGATAGGTAGAAATCTTATGCAGATCAAAGAAAGAAGGATATACAGTTTGAAGTGGGAGATCGGGTCTTTTTGAAATTTTCACCCTGGAAGAAAGTATTGAGATTCGGGCATAAGGGTAAATTGAGTCCAAGATTTATTGGACCATTTCGTATCTTGAAGAGGGTAGGACCTGTTGCATATCAGCTTGAGTTGCCTTCTGAGCTAAGTCGTATTCATGATGTCTTTCATGTATCAATGTTGAGGAGATACCGTCCAGATCCAGGTCACATTATTCAGGTTGAAGAAGTAGAGTTGAGACCTGATTTGTCATATGAAGAGGAGCCCATTCAGATCTTGGAGAGAGATGAACGAGTTCTTCGGAATAGACGAATTCCAATGGTCAAAGTTCAGTGGAGTAATCGAGGCCCCTCAGAAGCTACTTGGGAGACATTGGAGTCAATGGAGGCTCAGTTTCCTCAACTATTCTCATAAGGTAAATTTCGAGGACGAAATTTCTTGTAGAGGGGGAGAATTGTAACAACCCAAATATTTACAAAATAATATTTAATTGAAATTTTAGAGGTTAATTGTGAAAATTGGTAAATTGTTGGTGACTAAATCAAAATTTATGAGAGTTTATAGGCTATTTTAGAAGTGAAGGAAATCCAAGGACCAAGCCTTGAATTTACCCTAAATCTGTCGGCAGCTTTGATTATAAGCGTACATTTGGTTCTGATTTTCAGAACCAAAATGCTCCCAATTTTCCTTTCCCATACGCAGTTTCCAACTCCGATTCCGACGCCGTCCAAATTCCGATCATCGTTTTAAACCCACCGTTGTGTTCATCATCGAGCGAGGAACAAACCCTTCAAATTAATTGAAGCGAAACGTGGCCAAACGTCAGGAATTTCCAGTCAAAGTAGCGACGGTTTTGTTAGCTCTATCGCCGAGGAAATCTTAAATTCACCGCTGATCGTTGCTCCGTTTACGACACCTCCCACACCATCGTGTTCCTTGTGCCGTTCCGAGTTCACCGGTGTCAACCTTGTCCGCCGTAGACGGCGGCGCGTGAGGAGATGGTGCAGTCAAAGATTCGGCCGATTTGAAATCGAGCTCTCCGCCGTTAAAAAATTTGAACCGATCGTTGTAAGTATCTTGAAATCGCTCAAAATAATTTTTAGAAATTTTTCCGGGATTTTTAGGGCCCCGGAGGATGCCTCACGCGCCACACGTTGACCGGTCTGACCGGGATTTTTCCGGGATTTTCAGAACCGGTTTGACCAGTCTGACCCGATCGTTGACCCGACCCGACCGT